AATATGTGAGTGATTGGCATTCATCTGCCCACACTATCTCCAGCATTGCTGCTGTTTACCCAATTGTTTATGTTTTATGTGGGGTGTAATAAAAAAGCGGATTAAGTTCTTCCAACTGAATTCCCTCCATCTTCTAGAGCTAGTGGAAGTTTGTTGCGTTCTACACATGGAATGCCAATCACTCTTCAACAGTTTAATGTTCAATTCCAGTTCCCATTTCAGTTTTGCATATAATGTGTTTCTTCCGTTTCGTTTTTGTAAACTCCTGTACAGTTTGGAAACAATCTTTCAGGGGGTTTGTTTGTATGCACCTGTCAACACTTCAATCACTTCATTACCTTCTGCTGAAATTTCTTTTTTAATTTCTGTATCATAGAAATGTCTTAGCTGTAAATATCTGAACAGGTCCCCATTTTCTAATTTAAATTCTCCTTCGAGTTTTCCAAAAGTTTTAAAAGTCTTTCCCTCTATGAGTGTACATACAGCTGTTATTCCTTTTTTCTCTCCACCGTACAAATGTATTATTTATCTCTCCAGGCCAAATCAGAAGTTTACTGTCTCCTTCCAGTTTGTATTTTTTGACTATCTCATTCCAAATTTTCAGTGATTCTTCTAAGATGGAATTTTCTCCCTTTTGGTCAGTATATTCTTTTCCACCTAGCCTGGCCTGAGGTTGAGGTTGACCCAGATTTAGCTTAATGTGTTTCCATCTAGTTTGATACTCCGGGGAGCACCAATAGACAATGTATCTTAATTGAGCCGCGTAGTAGTATTCTCTAAGCTTTGACAGTGCTAGGCTTCCGTTTCCCTTGTCAATTTGGAATGTCTTAAATTTGACCCTTGGCCTTGCTCCTGCCCAGATAAATCGGGATATCTGTTTGTCCCATGCTGTAAACTGAGATTCTGGGATTCTGACTGGTAATGATAAGAAGAGGTATACAGCAACCTTGGCAGTACATTCATTTTCACCACCTCAATTCTTGAACTAAAATCCAATACTAGTCTTGACCATTTTGTTATATCTTTCTGTATCCTATCATTTATTATATTGTAGTTTGTTTCATATATTTTGTTCAATTCCTGAGTGATTAGCACTCCCAGGTATTTTATTGATTTTGCTTCCCACTTCAGTTTATATTTCTGCCTGATTGCCTTACTTGGTATGTAGTGAAGAGAGAGTACCTGTGTTTTTGTGATGTTCAATTTATAGCCCGACTCAGCCATAATTGTCATAAGTTTGGGAATTGTTGAGTTGGGATTCTGGAGATAAGTAATAATATCGTCTGCAAAAAGTCCTATTATATGTTCCTCCTTTGCTATATTGATCCCTTTCAGCTCTTTGTTTTGTCTGATAGCTTGAGCCAGAAACTCTATGAATATTGAAAAAAGGGAGGGGCTAAGGCAGCAGCCCTGGCGAGTGCCTCGAAACAGCTTAAAACTGCCTCTCAGATGGCCTGTACAGAAAAGGCCAGCTGACTCTATCAAACGCCTTTGCCGCATCGAGACTGACCAGAGCTGCACTTAGATGTTGTTTATTAGCCTGTTCTATAATGTGTAGGGTTCGTCTGATGTTATCCTGTGCTTGTCGACCTTTTATAAACCCTGTCTGATCTTCATTTATTAAATCAGGGAAAAATTGTTTGATTCTTTTTGAGATTATAGATGTAAACAATTTATAATCTACGTTCAATTTAGAAATTGGACGATAGGATTCACAACATTCTTTATTTTTACCTTTTTTTGGGATGACTGATATCACAGCTTTGCTGAGTGTCCAATTTAAGGAATCTAGCAATACAGGGGCGAGGTCTTCTTTAAAGATTGTGTACCATTCATTCGGAAAACCGTCACTCCCTGGGTATTTATTTGTTTTCAATTTACTAATCGATATGTCCAATTCTTTTTTGTGATGGGGCAGTTAGTTCGTCGTTTTGTATTTTTCCTATGGAAGGAAGATCTGAAGTATTGTTTAATGTTGTCTTCATTGACAATCTTAGGCTGGGAGTATAACGTTTCGTAGTAATCTTTGAAGATTTTATGAATTTCTTCTGGTTCGTAGTATTAGTTAAAGGGTCTCTGATCTTGTGTATTGAATTTTTAATTTGTTGTGCCCTGAGGCGTCTTGCTAAAATTTTTGTTGCTTTCGGGCCCGATTCATAAAAAGGTTGTATTGTGAATCTCAGTTTCTTTTCTAATTCGTCATTCAAGATGTTCTCTATTTGTTTTTTTAAGTTATTTTATCTGGTTTGACAATCCTTTGTCCTTATCTTTTTGTTGTTGTTTCTCTAATTTTCTCAATGTTTTCTCGAATTCATCGTATTTTGTCCTCTTTATCTTATTTAAGTATGCCGTTCTTGAAACAGAAACAGACGATAAACAGAAACGGACTGCTCGAAGGAAAACATACTGTATTCACCACACAATCAGCACTGGTGGAGCACTTTTTTTACATGTCACATATTGACTAATCAAGATGTTGAAGGTCCAATGCCCAACAGCAACTATGTTAAAGTATACATAGTTTGTAGTTAAAGAGTTGAACCTGCAAAGATGGTATGGTTCTTTAGAGTAACTTCATGACTGACTTATCTAAATACCTACATGGCCTATCAAATATGGTTCCACTTTTATTCTTATTTCAAGCTCCATGTACGATAATGCTACTTTTACCGCAGCTTCCACATTCGAGTAATTGAGCTCGATCACTGGAGACAGAGTGAGAAATGTGTCAGATAAACAAAACTGAACCAACACCGAATGTGTGACATTGTGGTTTGCATGGTATGGGAACAGGACACGCACTTCTGCTGTGATGGTGAACCATTCAAACAGTAAAAAGAAAGAATTGTATGCAGCTAACACATTTAGCATCTTTTGATGTTTTTTGTAATCCCAGTTCATGATTGCACATATAACGCAATATATTTAGAGATGGTTTTGTAATGTTTTAAAGTAGGATGCATCTTCAAGCTTGCAGCCCCAACAGAGATCATGATGTTGTTGTGTGAAGTTTGTATGCATGTCTGGAGATGTCACTGTTCTTTATTCATCACAAGTATTGATACTGCATGTTCAAGTGCTTAAAACGCTACCATCCAATAGAATTTTTGTCCAATCACTGGGTATTTATTGTGCCTATTCACTCCCCATGGATTTCATGTTTTGTGGTTTTGCAGTGAATCACAGTGGACAAAATCAGAAAAAGACTAAATTAAAACTAATTCCTGAAAATGCATTAAAATTAAAACAAATATAATACACAGCTTTAGTATAATGTCACATAAATAGTCACTGGTGAAGCCAATTGTTTTTGGAAGTTACAAAATAATTTCAATGTAGTGTGTGATCAAGGTTAAAAGACAACAGCTGGTTTGTCAACTTCCTACTTTAATGGCAAAATCACACATAACTCCTTGGCACACATGAGAGCGAAGAGTGTTCAGAATCACAATCAGAATCGTTTATTGCCAAGTACGTTACACATACAAGACATTTGACTCGGTGAATGGTGCATAACAATATATACAGTGCAATAATCAAGACATAATTTGAAAATAGAAAATTTTAAAATGTACAATAAAATGTGTTAACAAGCAAACAGATAACAGTACTTGTCAACTTGTCAAGTTAAATGTGTCTCTTCATCACAGCAGTCTGGTACAAAGCCTGCATCACTACCAATGTCTCATCAATCTGCTTGGTGAACATGATACCAAAGTACTTAAACTCTTGCATCTGACTCACTCCAACCCAAAAGGGAGAAAGTCACATCACAGTACAAAACACAGTACTAAGGCCTCAGACTTGGAGGTGCTGATTATTATCCCGGACTCTTGGGGTATCCCGGACTCACTGTCGGGAGAAGGGTGGGCCACAGCTCCGGGAGACTAACCTTCAGTTTAGGGTTAGCAGTCAAAATTAGAATGCAGGCAGCACAAAAGCTGGTGTAGCTTTGGTTCTAACCGGTGTAATGGCAGCTACAGAAAGTTTGCTAATCCAGCAGGTATTGGAGCAGTCCCCTGGAATCACCCCCCCAGCGTGCGGTTTACAATAGCTGAATTTGAGTAGCTGCAGCTCCACTAACTGAAAGTCCGTATCCCGGAGCTAATGCATATTTTCCTCCTGGCGATGTGGTCACCTGGTGGCAGGGAGGACAAAACTAAAATATGAGTCTTTTTTTTGTTTCTGCCACATTGGTTTTAATCAAATAGACAAACTATCAAAACAAACATGGACCACACAGCCCCCAATTGGACTCACAGTAAACACAAAGATGGTTAACTTAAACTAAAGGCCGATGCCACACGTGAAGATTATATGGTAGCAATGTTACTCTGACCAGGTGTCAGTGTTTCTGAAAATTGGTCGAATTTTGCACATTCTTACTAGCAGTTGGCTTTTTACATTTTTTTAAATTTCTTTATAACAGATGACTGTAAATGTAGGAGCATGTGGCCGGATCTTACACGTTGCACCTTTAAGGGCAAGCATTTGACACAATTACCAACTCTTGCCTGTATGGGTAGAAAGCGTATCATTTTAAGTTCACTTAAGATTGATGTCAGACTTATTTCTCTCTGCAGTTAAGGGTCTGTGTACTTGCTCTAATGTCATGGCAGCCTACAGTATACGTAATAAGGAACCGGTAGTGTTAAATTCAGTAATACCATCTTTCACATTACATCAGTAAAAAATAGAGCTTACATAGAGTTTACTCCACTACCTTTAATGGTATTGTATTCTCTTCTTGAGTTAATCATTTTATATTAATGAGAACTCTGTGGCTTGAACTTTAATTTTATGTGTATAGTCTATTTCATTACAGGTCAACTAAATGTGCCTTAAAGTGCATACAACAACAAGTGAGATGGAAATGTATCAAAAACAGAACTAACAACACTGCCAACCACCAAAAGTCCAAACAAACAATGACAAACCACATTCACATGCAGATAGCTAAAAAAAAAGATATGTGTGATACACATGGAAAGGCGATCAAGACTCCACCTCTACATCGATACTATAACATGAATCAGATATTGTAAGTTACTGAACAGAGCTTGCTGTCAACAGTCCAGGTGAGACCTCAGAGTTTTGAGTTGAGTTATCTGGCACATTAAAATTAACAATAATTAACTTAGTCTGTGTCCATGCCTTTTACCTTCTGTCACTTTATATTTCTTCCATACAGATGGCAAGGCTGTGGCATCTCATGCTCCTGAGCTGGGCATGGAGTCCTCTCTGTCTGTCAGCCAGTGTGGGCTTCATTGGTTCACCGCAAGAGTGTGAAAAGGCTCACTTTGTCCCAGGTTACAACCTGGGTGGAGAAGGCTTCGACATCGTCACAATGCAGCGGAAAGGTGCCTATGTCATCAACATGGAAACATGGAAGCTCGGCAACGACACTTGCAGGATGTTCAGCAACAACTACATGAACGGAGTTAGTCAGAAAGTCCCAGCTGCTGTGGTGGACTGGAGACCCCTCCAAAAGTGCAGTTTAAAGGTCTCCAGTATGGTCTACAATTCTGTTGAAACTCTTGTCAATGACTCCACCTCAGCTGTGTCCAACAATTGGAAAATTGGCCTCGAAATCCCTGTAGACCCGTCTGTTACTCTTGGTGTTGGCTTTGGAGGTTCCCACTCCAAAGAATCTCACTTTGCCATGCAAAAATCCAAACAAGACCGCTACACCTTCTTTCGCCATTCTGTCGACTGCAGCTTCTATCGGTGAGTATGTGGACAGATATTCGTCTTCTTGGCATTAATTCTGCTTTTATTGGGTCAGTTCACTGAGAAATACTTTGTTTCACAGTGTCCTGGATAGACAGCCATTTTGCAAACAACATTAACAGTGAGTAAAATGGGATTGTGATAGACTGTAACTGATTAATATACTTCCTGTGCTTCACAGCTACAGATTGGCAACAAATCCTCCGCTGAGTCGTGACTTTCAATCAGCCATGACCTCCCTTCCAGCCTATTCATATAAAACGTCGTCATTATATCGCAGACTGATTGACACATATGGTACACATTACATAACACAAGTGTCTCTAGGTGGGCAAATAAAAGCAATCACTTCTGTCAAGACCTGTGAGGCAACCATGAGTGGACTGTCGGCAACAGAAGTCAGTGACTGTTTGTCAGTCGAGGCTTCTGCTAGCTTTGCAAGCACTGCGAGCATTAGGGCAGAGAACCAACACTGTCAGGCAAAGAAGAAGAAGTTAGGCTCCAGCCAAAGTTTCAGCACCATGTATAATGAGCGCAGCACAGACGTCATTGGTGGAAACATTGACGGTGCTGACATCCTCTTTCAAAGCCAATCAAACCACTATGTCTATAACAACTGGCTTAACTCACTGAAGTCCACACCTGATGTGGTCGAATACAGCATAAACCCCCTGCACACCATACTGCCAAGCAGTCATCCTGCCAGAGCCGGACTGAAGCAAGAAGTGGAGAAGTACATCAGGCAAAACGCAGTGTTAAAAAAATGTTCAGAATCCTGTCAGGTTGGTCACAGATCCAGCACAAGGGATCCTTGTGCTTGTGTTTGCAACAGTAATCAGAATATCAAGTCAAACTGCTGTCCTGCTGGGAAAGGTCTTGCAACATTAAAGGTTTTCAAGCTCTATGCAGAAGGGTTGTATGGTGATAGGTGGACTAAGACAGATGGTTCAGTGGAGGTGATCTATGGATATCAGAAGAAACGCACTCTCATCATTAGTAACAATGACAATCCTAGATGGTCGGAGACTTTTGAGTTTGGACCCATCGTCATTAACATGCAAAACAAGCTTATGTTCACTGTTTATGACGAGGACACTTATTGGAATAGTGATCTGTTAGGCAAATGCTCATTTTCTCTGCGTAGGGGGACAGTAAGTAACTCTTGCATGTTCAAGCATGGCACCCTCTTCTTCTCGTACACAGTCGAGTGTGCACCAAGTCTCGGTGGTGACCAATGTCAAGAATACATACCATCCCCCATGAGTCCCTCTCTGGCCAAGGTCTTCCACACCAGAAACGGGGTCCTTCTTGGGACGGGGGAGGGGTATGCTAAACCAGTCGGACAGTCAGGTTGAGGTCAGCAGTTGACATTAAGAGTGACGAGAGTACCACTATTTGATTTTATGATGATCTTGAATATAGTTAATAGCATATTTCACTCTGTTACTCTCTTTGTTTGATTTGTGTTTACTAAACACAAAGTGTAATCCAAAAATGTCTGTGAAAAATTGTGTTTTATAATCCACCTTTTCTTCTGCTTCTTTCTTGTTAGTTACAAATTCTGCCAATAAAGCATCCGCAAAGACAACACCAGTGTCCGTCTGATTTTATGTCTTAAAAAGTATGTTGATCTTGTGGTTTACATGTAATATTGAAATGCATACTCATAAATGCAGAAGCTATAGACAGTTTAAACTTTTCAGGCCAGAGTGCTCAAGCTTATCAAATATATGAACCATTAAAGTAATTTAGTTGAATAATAGCTTTTACACCATGTACCTCCAAATGAGGGGTCTTGAGTTGGATTTTTAGATTAGATTTTTCTTCTTCAGAAACATTTCTCACTATTTACCGACTACAATTTAATCTGAGAGTCTTTCCTGTTGAAGGCTGAGAGAATGTAAAACAAATATAAGTGTAAACTGCTCACTTAAACTTTATCCATACTCACTGATAGCTGTTACTCCATCCATTTAAGGCCACTATCTTGGCAATTGTGTGGTATGAATGAAAAATGTACATGGCTCCGTTATCATCATATCACAGCTGTTTTAGTTAAATAAGGTTTAAATATGTCAAATATAATGTACATAAGGCTATATATGGGCATGCATGTATGCAACTATGCTGTAAAAATATTTCATATAGATCAATGTATGTTTTCACGTTTGTATGTGTGATATGTTCCTCATGTGTGAGTGTAATCAAGCACAAAGAGTCCTCTGATGATCCCAACCAATCACTTTGCCTCTGTGTATCGGCACACCTGCGTTCTGTGTTATAAATAGATGGAGGGTACATCAATTCCCTCGTGTCACACAGCTCAAGTTCAGAAACTTGTGTTTAGACAGAATGGAGAATAAACTCCACAAAGACAGACGATAGCTGATGAACAGTACTAACCACAGAATCCTGTGTGTATTTGTCTTCATTTGTAAACTGCTTCATAAAAGTTAAGATGTCACCTCATTAGTTAAGACTTAGTTGTGCCGTAAACGTTTTATTTATTCTTATATTGAAATATAATAATTTCACCACTAGAAAATAAGAGTGACACAAGTTAATTAGAAGTCCTTTCACATCAAAATTGTATCTGAAAATATAACCATTTAGGTTTTCTAAATCATATGTATTATGGAATAATAGAGTGCTGATCGTCCCAACAGCAGTTGTCACATTTATAGTCAAGTCTGGATGGAACTAGTGCCCCCCTGTGGTAACTATATGAAATGCAACAACTTGGAGGTCCAAGATGATCAGAGTAGTGAGGAGAGGGAGGCTGCCTGTAGTACTGGATGAGCAGCAGCAGAGGGTGAACATCTTCATGTTATGAACACAAGCAAGTGCAAAGACACCATATCTGTTTTAATTGATAGTTTATACAATTTCCCCCTCAAAATGCTTCATAATGTAAATGAATAGCACATATACAGTAGCACTTATGTGTATCATTAACTGTACTATTTTGTGTAATACTTTCTGTTTTATTGCCTTGCCTTTGCTGCGTTGTCTGTCAAAGCACTTTGTAAACTGCTTTAAAATGTGATATATAAATAAAGTTATTATTATTATTATTATTATAATACGTGCAAGAAGTATTCAGCATTACAGTGTAAACAACTAAGTATAGAAGTATCACCAGGAAAATGTACTTCCTCTTAAATAAATTAATCAATTAACGTCTAATACTTATTGCTGATTCATTAACATGTCAGCAGCAATTTAACATTATAACTTGTTGAGGTTTCGTGTATTGTTCAAACTTTATATGTAGGGTAGTTTTATCTATGAAACCCTGATCATATGTTATGTATTTAAAACCTTAATCAGCAGAGCAAGAATTTAAAAAAAAAATGTTGTGGATTAAAAAGTACAATATCTTCCTCTCATTAAAAAGTACAATATCTTCCTCTCACATGTAATTAAGTAGAAGTGGCATATTGAAATATAAAGTACATCATAATTGTACTTAAATACAGTACTTCCTCAGTATTTTCTTTTTACCATCAATGTAGTCTGTACTAATACTATGTTAGATAGAACATATCTGATATAATATATGTTACGGTTGGTTATACTAGACCCATAAGCTGACACAGAGACGGCAGAGTAGGTGAAGGAATGGGTTTTAATAGGTTACTCGTATAGCAGAGGGAGAAAGCAGGTAGGGAGGTGAGGCGGCGTGAGTGGCGGCAGATTGGCTGCGACGTAGGCACGGAGATCTTGAGACACAGGAAAAAGAGGTTAATCGTGATTTCAAAAATAGAGAGCACAAGAAAACACTCTAGTCGAGAAACAGACACAGAGCGGCCAAGGTTCTGGCTCCACTGAGCTAACGAAACAATCTGGCGATGAGAGGGAAGGAAGCCGGGGTACTTAAACTGCATGAGCTTGATGGTCTGATTGCAGGCATGTGCGGAGATGAGCCCAGGTGCCGGGTGATGGAAGCCGCGCCCATCACACACACACACACAGACACAGAGAACAGAGGGGAGACACCAGGCAGGAGTCACAGCAGAGCCGTGACAATATATTAACAAAGCTTCGCTGTCACTAAAATATCTGCAAATCATAGTTTTGATGATTTTCAGGTTAGAGCCTCGGTATAAGAGAGAATTATGAAACCATGGGGATCAACTTAAAACTAGCTTGACTGTCAAACTAAAGACAAGGCCACACCGTTTACTTCCTGATGATTAGTTATTTTGGAAAGGACAGTGACGTTGTGATTGTGAAGGCTGTTCTAGTAGGAGAAATGAAGATTCCCTGATAGCAGTAAAGTTATTATGCTGACTATTTTAGCCAACAGCAGGCCTGTTTATGTACTTATACTGGGAGATATAAATATTGTATTTTAGACTATAAAAGCAAAGACTACTAAAGTGACAATGTAGTCAAGTCCTACAAAGAACTTAATCATATTTTATCATTATACACTGAATCCCAGTGGATGTAATTAGAGGTTTTGAATGCACAAAACGATTTAAATGAAGGCAAAAACACAACACAAAAGTCAGTCATTTATGTGACAAGTGTTCTGGAGACAGCCCTGCTGCTGGTTCATATACTTTACTAGCCTAACCTACACCACAACAGCTTATGGATACAGTTTTAATGGAATGAAGTTAGCTGTTGAAGTTCAATAGGATATAGATATAAAGACTCTGAATTTACCTCGAAGTTTACTCATGTTTCGGGCAGCAGCTCAAGTAACATAGCTGTTAACTGAAATGTAAAGAATTTTGTAAAACTGTGAATCTGTAAAGCTGTGAGTGGGACACTAAAGAGGAACACCACTAAGACCTGTGGCCAATTTGAAGAGATACTGTACTGTGCATGTTATTTGTCTGGGTACTTCATGGTACCCATGTGTACCCAATGTGCAAGAAAACGTGATAAAGTGCCATAGGTGCACTTCCAGTGGAGAAAACGCATGAGGACTGAGATCCTTTTGCTGCGAACACATTTTTGTTAATTATTAGAATTTCAATAATAATGGTTAAGTTAAAGCAAAATCAGATCCTACATTTACCAAAATGCAAAACCCAATAGTGCCCTCCAATTCATATATAATATAATAATAATGCATACAATAGATATCATCTATATGAGCATGAACAGAGAGAGACAGAGGGTCCCAGCTGCCGTGGTGGACTGGTGAACCCTCCCCAAATGCAGTTAAGGTGTCCCCAGTACTTCACTGATGATGGATGATGATTTGAACGATGCTTATCTTTATGACAGTAAAGTGGTCCCAGATTGATACTGTGATACAGTGATGCAGTTTATGCATGCAGTTTACAGTAGATAGATACTGTAAACAGATCTTCATACTACTTTAATCCACTGTGATGCATAATAACGGAAAGCAGAAGGAGCCACATCAAAGTACTGAGATTCACCCCTTTATCCTCACTTTCCTCTCACTATCAAACAATGACCCCTTTACCAGTACCCTTATTCAGTCTCACTCGCTCTTCCAAAACAGGTCATCGTAGTTCTTCAACTTGACAATCTCCTGCTGGCCTGGCTTATCCACACCCCATTCCTTTCTCCTTCCCTCGGTCCTAGAAGAAAAGAGACAGAGGCGAGGGGATTTGCCTCACGGTAGGTAGCTGGTTTATGTGAAGCATATGAGAGAAAAGAGAAGAAAGGAGAGAGGTTTTTTGGTGAGGCTTGGTAAAGAGAGCCAGGAGCCCACTTAAGGAGCAGTGGGTCTTATGGCTGGATGATTTGTTTGGAGAAGCCCTCTCCAGCCAAAAGGAGGATTAGCTGCACACAGGTTCCCATGAAACCAAGGCGAGGTGGGGAGGGTTTTTAGAGGTTACCACACCCCTGCATGACTGCACATGCATGCATGCATGTAGACACACACACATGCGCACCAACATCTAAGTATGCTCATCTGATCTACTCCACAAGTGGACCCAAGTGAGTGTTTTGTCGAATTTGGTGCAATTTGGACACGCAACGCGTTCAAAAAAATTCTGAGCTTCGCAGTCCAGCATGTCGTCTGCAGCGGGCAGATAGCAACTCGTGGACTGCACTTCATTTTGGCTGCGGGATGCTGGATATAGCCTGCTAATGCTACGTGAATGCTTGATAATGTTACAACCAAACTTTTTCTTACTTCCCTGGAGTCAACCAGTTGCAAAGGAACAGCTCCGCTCTGCCATGGCTTCCAAATTGAAGTTTTTGCCTTTCGAATAAAATCTTTTGCAAGGTATTTCGGAGACCTGTTCAGGGCATTTTTAGTTTGGGCCCCAGGCCCAGGTTGCCTACCTTGCCTACCTTGCCTGACGGTAAAGTCTGCCCCCGGTGTTTTTCTGACTGTCATTAACTGTGACTTCGGTGTGTTTTGGGGCAGATATAAAGATTTTTTTGGGGGGGCATGGAGACAAATTCAGTCTTGCTTTACTTTTCATCTTTTCTTTAACTGGGAAAGTTGGAATTGGCAGAAAAAGTACTTAAAACCTTCTACCTGAAGAAAAACGATTAACCATTAACAGTAAAACTATTAATACTGCACAGCAAAATTCTTGCATTAAAATGTTTACTTAATGTTAAGATTGAAAGAATTACCAGCAC